CCCCCCCGCATCAAAGCCTGGATAATAATTAATACGATATTGCTCTTTCATACTATATATTCATATAATTCTTTCACTCTTGATTCCCTGTATCAAAACACGGATAATATGATCTTGCTCTTTCAATCAGATTCATTCCTTCCTGATTCCTGCATCAAAATCAAAGCCTGGATACTATGATCTTGTTCTTCCATACAGGTACATTCCTCAGTGATTCCTTGTATCAAAATGAAAGCCTAGACAATATGGCCATGGTCTTCCATACAGGTTTACCCCTTCACATTCCCCGTATCAAAGCCTGGATACTATGATCTTGTTCTTCCTTACAGGTTCATTCATTCCTGATTCCCCGCACCAAAGCCTGGATAATAATAGGATGATGATCTTGCTTTTTCATATAGGTTCTTTTCTTCCTGATTCCCAGTATCAAAATCCAAGTCTGGATAATAATAAAAAATTATGATCTTCTTTTTCCCCCTACAGGTTCGCTCCTTCCAGATTCCCCGCATCAAAGCCTGGGTATTGATATAATCCTGCTCTTTCACATACTACAGGTTCTTTTTTTCTTGAGCCTGAATAATATCATGATCGTGTTCTTCTCCTTCCTGATTCCCTGCATCAAAGTCTGGATAATGATATAATCCTGCTCTTTCACATACTACGGGTTTTTTCTCTCTTGATTCGCGCATCAAAGCATGAATAATATGATCGTGTTCTTCTTCTTCCTGATTCCTTGTATCAAAGCCTGGATAATATTAAGATCTTTTTCTTCCATACAGGTTCACTCCTTTCTCATTCCCCGCATCAAAGCCGTGAGACAAGCTCACCCCAGTTGGACCCAGGACCAGACCCTCCAGGCGGGCATCAGCGTCTACAACACCGGGGTGACGAACGTACAGACAGTCGCCGGGGTTGATAGCAGTACCCAGGGACGCGACTTCTCGAACGACGTGTGTGCTCGGGCCCAGAGACTGATCAACCATCACAAATGGGAATAATAGTAATAAATGAATAATAATAATAATAATAACAGGTTGAATCAGGCGCTCGTCAGTTTCTGGTCGTTTTGGAGTTATTGTATAATCTTTAAGTTAAAGCCTGCACAATAAATGGGAATAATAATGATTGTGTCACAACGCGGTGGAATTAGGCGCTCGTCAATTTTAGGTCGTTCGGAGTTATTGTATAATCTTAAAGCCTGCTAATTCGCCTGGCTTTTAATGAAAAATAAAATAAACATCTTTCTTGGATAGACGTCAAGATATTTACCATTGGAGGAGGTGGGGATCCATTGGTAAAATTAGCGTGGAAATGACTGGTGGCTTACAAAACTGTAGTGTTCTTGGAAACTACTTAATATTTGCATTTAGTTCCTACAGCAACTGCTACTACTACTGCTACTACTACTACTACTACTACTACTACTACTACTACTACTACTACTACTACTACTACTACTACTACTACTACTACTCTTTCT